CGGAGAGCCCCCTCCACGCCCAAAGCGCCTCTTTGGGCAGAACCAACGTCGCTTTTTCCGAGACCCACAGGGCTCCTCGGCTTCTTGCAGCGGAGAGTTGAGGAGGGGACCTGGTTGCCTTGCGGGGAGCTCGGAGGGGGGGAATGAAAGAAGGGACTGATTCTTGCCCCACAGAAGCGCTTTGAAGAGTGACACACACACACACACGCAGGGGCCACGTTTGTACAACCAAGATTTCTGTAGTACCCCCCACCAGAAGCCACAAAGGCTCCAGGCATGCAAGAGGGGCTTGTCCCCATGTGGCCCGCGGGCTGCTCTGCTCAGGCCGGCCCTGGACCCCAAAGAAGCAATGGGGCTGACACGTGCCTTCCCCACCTGCCACATCCCGACAGGTACCCACAGTCGTCGGTGCAGCAGCTGGGGCCACCTTGGTGCCAGGTCACAGCCTGCGGGCACCGCCCTCTGCCCGGGGGGGGGGCAGCGATGCCACCATGGCTTTTGGGCTGAGCAGCCAAGCCGTGGGCTCCCTAGAGAAGGGCTGGCCTTCTGCAAGCACCCTGAGGCACTTCATGCCCAAGGGGTCCGTCCGCAAAATGTCAAAGCATGCCATGAGACACACACACACACACACACGCCCCAAAGACCTAATCGGCTACACACACACACACACACACACACCCCAAAGACCTAATCGGCTAGGATGGCCAGCAGGCACAAAAGGTTGTTGCCCAGCCAGGGTCCCCAGAGATGCAGCCTTCAACCTGCGGCCCCTTTTCCAGTGGGCCCCTTTGCCTGGCAGACATCCACCTCCCTGCCTTTCCTCGGGCACCCTGTCTCAGGCACTCTACACAGAGATCCTTCGGGATCCCTAAAGGGTAGGCCAGGCTGATCTGGTCCTGGGTGCAGATGGGGTCTCCTCTGACAGGTGATCCTCTCAAGGGATCTGGTGTGCCCAGGTTTCTTATAGGCCAGGGCAGCTTTTTCTTATCCAGACTGCGATTGTCCTTGAGCACTGGAGCGGATCGTGTTCCAGGTGTGGGAATCGTGTCCATCCCATTCTGACATAGGTACCTTTTATTGAGGGTTTTGCCCCGTCTCTTCCCAGTTTAACCAGTCTTCCCCATTTAATTGGGAGCCAGACAAGAGAGTCTTTGGCACAGCAGGGCATCAACCAGAAACCATAGGAGATGCTCCCCCATTCATCTCAAGAGCCTCCTTGACTTTGGATACAGAAGAAGACGTATAACTTCGGCTCAATTTACAGGAAGCCCGAGTGACTGAATATCAGGAAAAACTTCCTGACTGTTAGAGCGGTAAGGCAGTGGAACCAATGATGTCATCGAGAGGTGGTGAGCAGGGCTCCAACCCTGGAGGCATTCGAGAGGAACTTGGAGAACCACCTGGCAGATCTCCTTTGATCTGTATTCCTGCATCGAGCAGGGGGTTGGACTGGATGGCCTTGCAGACCCCTTCCCAAGTTGACAATTCTATGAAAGAGAGAAGGTTTTCTATGAAAGTGCGCAGAGCAGGAGCAGAGTCTTCTGAGAGCCCTCTCTGTTTGGTGACTCGGGTGTAAATCTCAGAACATTCAGTGGATCTCACCGTCAAGGAAATGATGCAGCTGGACTCGATGATCCCCTTTCCAGCCCTGCAGTTCTAAGATGACATCTGGCCCTGCTCAGATGAGGAACTGCTTTGATCAAAGGGATCCTGGGCAGCCGCCTGCCCAAAGGGAGGACCACCTACTCACTGCTTAAGGTGATTTGGGGAGCAGGTACTTTTGGCTGCTGTCCTGAATCTGCCCTTCTTCCGCTTGGTAAAATTGAGTCAAGAAGGTCTTTTAAACACATTTAAAAGCAGGCTGGCACAGTCAGTGCTGTAAGGCGCATGGTGTCGCCAGGTGGCAGTCCTGGAACATCACAGGTATGGCACCTTTTGG